TCAGTTAGGGGTTGGTCTTTCGAACATACCTGCCAACATTCGGATTATAAAATCTGGGTGGTTTTCAGGAGACAGAACAATACGGGAGATGGGTCTGAAATACGGGAGACTCCTGGAAAAACAGGAGTGTTGGCAGGTATGCTTCCGAACCTTCCAAACTCCCTGGCAAGGGGCCTAAACCAGCTAAACCTTCGGATTTTATGTTAAGTGGTACATGCGAACGAGACACTTCAAAAGTAGTGAAGTGGGCATTGCACATACATTTATCAGTGTGACAGAAAATCCTATAATGTTAACAAAATGACCATATTTCCACACAACACATGTATTAAATCGTATTCAGTAGCATCTATAATTCTAGAACATGTTCACAGTTAGTGTGATGGAGTAATTATATTATTTGAGATACACAGTGACCCAAGTATAATATTGAGATATAAGACTGATTTGATTAAAAACTGTGTGATTTTGTTCACAAAACAAAATCTTGTCATCAGATTTTATTTCTATAGCCAAAAATGATGACGTGATGACACGATGGGTAGCGATGTCGCCTCACAGCAAGAAGGTTGCTGGTTCGAGCCCCGGCGGGGTCAGTTGGCATTTCTGTGTGGAGTTTGCATGTTCTATCTGTGTTTACAAGGGTTTCCTCTTGCTCCGGTTTCCCCCACAGTCCAAAAGCATGTGGTGTAAGTGAATTGGGTAAGCTAAATTGTCCGTAGTGTATGCGAGTATGTCCTGGTCCTTCAGGTTGGGGGTTAAGCGTTAGGCTAACAACCCACCATATATAACTAGATGTTACGAAACACCAACATGGTGCAACTAAATATCAACTTTGATATAAATGACCCTGGTAGTAAGTATACCCAAACAATAAAAAAAAAACATTTCCAGAAAAACTAGTTGTGTGTAATAACAATGGAATGACACAAAGAGGAAGTACTGGAATGTATTTAACACTTTGTATAAAAGGCTTTTTTTCCATAATGGCAGCTTCAAGTTGCCTCCTGTATGGAGAATGAGTCACATGCATTGCTCAGCTCACGTGTGACTTAAACAGTCAAAAAATCTTGAGGATTCTGTGGGTCCCTTCTATCATCTCTGATCTTTAGTTCTTATTTTCTATTGGATTCGGGTCAGGTGATTGACTGGGCCATTCTAGCAGCTTTATTTTATTCTTCTGAAACCAATCAAGAATTTCATGGCAGTGTTTTGGATCATTGTCTTTCTGAAATTTCCACCCTGGTTTCATCTTCATCATTTGGCAATGTAGATGTTGGACTGAAGCAGCTAATATTAATTTACACTTGTGAGGGGCAGGGCTGCTTTCTAAAAACTGACTGGGCTTTCCATGCCTATTAACACCTCCCTTTCTTCATGTGTTCGATTTAAATTTTCCCTGAGTAATTTCATTTTATTATATGACAATTTTTAAAGGAATTAGTTAAGTTTTCTACAAAAAGATGTCGTGTTTAATACCTATTTTCCTCGCTATATATGTAATACATACAATAAGTTGCCTGAACAAATTTAATATTTTCAAGTTTCATATTTGCAATCAATAAAATCTTTACTTTAAGTGCAGATTTATTTTTTTACTGTATTTAGATGTCTGTTATTAAGATTAGAGAAGAAAAAAATCAGCTATGTAACTACATGATTTAAAATTATGCTTTTTAATAATGTAGTATTTTTAAACATCAAACATCATCAATCAGTATAAAATAAACAAAACATTAATGAACCACGAAACAACGAGCAATAATTTCAATGTAATTAGTAAATGGTGAATATAAAAAGACAGCATACAGTATATAGACACCTAAAATTAAACCTTAATACAGGTAATTTTGTTAATTATCCATTACTAAAATTAAATTGTGTATGCTATTATAATGCTCCACATTTCCATTATTGTTTTTCCTTGTGAGACCTTGGTATTAACTTCAGTGTGATGGGAACCTTCGGCTGAAAAAAAAAGTTCAGCTGTACAGGGATCTGAAAATAAACAGCAGAAAATAAATGTAAATAATTATTTATATACATGTTTCCTAATTAAGGTAAAGTCACACCTCATGTCATACATTCTCTCATGTCTTATGACCAACCTGCGTCTCTTTACATGTTTCCACAGTGTATTTCTGTAGCAGCTTCACAACAAGAAGCTTCATCATCATTAGAGCAAACCTCATTCCAATGCAGTTTCGAGGCCCGAGTCCAAAAGGCATGAAGGCACACTGGTTGATCTCTGTCTTGCTCTCTGGACTGAATCTGAAAAAATGTATCAGAAAGTGCTGCAGTTTTTGCTTCCTTGATAATATCTTAACAAACAACTTGGTAAATGTATTACCTCTCAGGCTTGAACTCATTAGGAGACTCCCAGAGGTCTGGATCACGACTTAAAACATACAAAGGAATTCCAACCAGTGTGTTTTTTGGTATGGTAATGCCGTTGATCTCTACGGTCTTTTTACAGACCCTTTCTAAGCGAGGACCAGCAGGAAAGACACGCATTGATTCATGTATGGCCATTTCCAAGTAATCCATTCTCATCAATGCATCGTATGTGATGGGAATCTGAAGAATACAAACAAAAAAATCATGACATGAATATTACAGTTTGTTACAATCTGTTCCTTTAACATTTTACAACCCCCCCTAGAGTTAAACAGACAAGTTTTACCATTTTTTAAAATCCATTCAGCCAATCTCCAGGTCCTTGTAGGAGCACTTTTAGCTTAGCTTAGCATAGATCATTGAATCAGATTAGCATCTAGAGTTTAGATTATTTTCCTATTTATTAATAATCATCGTAATAATAATAATAATTCCATACATTTATATATCATTTTTGTGGACACTAAAAGCGCTACGCACAGTTTTTTGGGGGGCAATCTCCTCATCCACCACCAGTGTGCAGCATCCACCAGGATGATTGACGGCAGCCATATTGTGTCAGACCGCACACCACACACCAGCTAATTGGTGGAGAGTGATGAAGCCAATTATGAAGAAGGACAGCGCTCACTGAGCAGTATAGAGTCCCCTTCACTATACTGGGGCTTTAGGACCCACACAGACTGCAGAATGAGCGCCCCCTGCTGGTCTCACTAACACCACTTCTGACAGCAACTTAGTTTTCCCATGTGGTCTCCCATCCAGGGCACAGCCCTACTTCGCTTCAGTGGGCGACCATGTGAGAGTTCTAGAGAGAGCTGCCAGCCACTTAAAGTTTGACTCTTTTGTAGTTACATTGTGTACTAAAACTGAAAATTTCTAGGAACTATACTCTATAATAAAGGAACTTCGCTGCTGTACCAGGACTCGAAATTAACTTTTTTACTTGGTAGCTCCAGTGCTCGCAACTTCAAATATTTAGGAGAACCAAAAAGAATTTAGAAATACTAGAAAAAAATTAGGAGCACCCACCAAAAATTTATAAGCACCATTGCAAATTGTATTTTAAGGGATAAAAAAACAACATAAATTAGGACTAACCAAAAACAGAAAGAACTATCTAACTAATACTGAGATGAGATTGATATCTGTGTGCAATAATTCCAAAATGTAACTCTAATAATTATAGAATATTAATAATGATGAAAATTACAATAATAGTAAAAATGAATTACATTTCTCATTATGATGCTGCCTTAAATGTGCTTGAATGTAAGTTATCTGCTATAAAAAGTCTGTTACCTTATGAAAAATAAATTTATGGTTTGCAATGCATCAAACTAAAATGAAGCATTACAGTAAGATATATTTATTTTGCACTATTGTTTTTATATCCATGTCAATCTAATAAATAATATTCCTGCTACAAAACAAACGAAAGACTATAATAAATCATTCAATTCAAGACTGAGAGCTGCAAAGCAGTCATCAGTAACAAAATAGCAAAACAATATACATCTCAAAAAAGAACGGACAAAAGAAAGTCTCACTTCTATCACTCTTTAAAGGGCCATGACACCCCCCACTTTCGGTTAAAGTCTACTTCAGAATTTTTTAAAAAGATGCATGATTAATGGGCGTGGAGCTCCGCGAGCATCGGGCAGGAGTGGGCGTGGCCAGCAGGGGAGAAGTGGAGCGAATAACTGTTGTTGACAGTTAGCTCACAAACTGAGACACAAACCATGAGGAGACGCATGAGTTTATAGTTCACAAAGTTAAAATGCAAAGAAATAAACAGTAATTTAATGCCCTGCTACATTTGTTATTCGTATTTTCATATACACATAACCACAATTTATATCATTATAAAGATAAGTGTGTTCATGTTAACACTATAAATGAGGATTCTTCCTCGATCACCGTGTGTAAATTATAGATCTTGAATGCAGACTCAGTGCAGCAGGTCTCCTGACCTGTCTATTTTAACCATTAGCCCTGCTGGTAATATAGAGGATTTAGGCAAACACAGCAGCACAGCGATGTGTCTGAATGTGAACGAACTCCTGATAAAAGTCAATGTCCGCCATTCTTCAATTCTCGTACTGCTCTCCTGACAAAAATGCTTGCAGCACACACACAGCTTTGCTGTATGATCGGCCCTGACAAGATCGTGGGGGAAAACATGCAACAAACCCAGTGGATCATGGAAACAAACACAAACGAGTTTTCATGAACGGCTACGTGCGGTTGGTCTGTGTCTCACAGCTTGCTTGAAACTGGCAGGTCTGCCTTCGGAAAGCACGTGCTCTCATGAATAATTAAGCAGCCGGCTCTTCTCATAGGATAAGAAAACTCTGCTATGAATAATAATGAGAAACCGATGCGTCATCATTGCACTTGCAGTACTGCGCTACGTCGCCGATTTTGATCCCGCCCCAAAAATCATTATTAACCCGGAAGCTGAAATTAGCTGACAAAAGCTCAAAATTATCCAGTTTTTCCCACAATTAAAGCTGACAGGTGCTAACATTGTCTTAACTGATGCTCAACACACACAAATCTGTTAATATAAAAAAAAGTTCTCCAGGGTGTCCTGAACCTTTAAAAGTTTTGGTTTCAGTTTGTGTCATTTTAAATGCTCAGTCTCATTATGAGCTGATCTTCATTTTTATGCACCAATTTATGAGCAGGCAGAGCAGGATTTTCCCGATGACCACCAGCGCAATACCACTCTTTGTTATAAGCCGCAAAATTTGAGCCCTGAGTACCATGACTGCATCAGACACAATATTACACAGGGCGTGAAAATTAACTAACTTCCATCAATATAACTAACCCACTTGCATATAAAGCATGTGTTTGTCATGTTAAAAGTTACCTAGTTTTTTCAGGCACGGTGTAATATCATTCGGCCTGCTGCAACCACTGTGATTATTACTCTGGAATGAGAGTGTAAGTCCTTATATATACTTTTACTTATCCACGGTATTTAATACACAATGTAACTACAGAAGAGTCAAGCTTTAAAAAAAAAATAATAACCAAACTCGTAATTTTTGAGCAAGATGCTAATAATCTAATCCAACTCAATAATTTATGCTAAGCTAAGCTAAGCTAAAGTGCCACTGCCAGACCCTGAGTTTGACTGAATGATTCAAAAATTGTAATGTAAAATGAGCTTTTTTCATTCAAAGAGGGCAGAATGAAGTGTTCTCACATCAAGAGGGAAGTTTTTGTCGATCTCCTCAACCAGCTTTTCCAGGCAGTCCGGATTAGTAGCAAGATTATAGAGGAGGTAAGAGAGAGTCGTGCTTGTAGTCTCATAACCACCCAAGATGAAAATGAAGGATTGGGAGAGAATCTCATGGTCTGTTAATCCTAAAAAAAATTTCAAAAACAACAACCACAACACAAGTTTAAAAACAAATCACATCTCAGAAAGTATATGAAATAAAACTTAATGTGAAATGTAATGTGTAAATGTCTTTCAGACCTTTTACTGGTTGTTCACTTGCAGTGTCCTTCACTTGATCATCAGGTATTTGATTCTGGATCATGAGCTTGAGGAAGTCTACTCGACCCTGATTAAAAAAAACACAACATAATAATAATCATAATCTACTGCTGCACCAACATTTCTGAGCAATCTGTTATGGAAGAAATCTGAAGAGTGAAAAAGTGGCAAACAAACATTTGATTCATTGTGCTCATCCTTAATCTTTCTCAGGGCCTTGTAGTAAAAATCTGTAGTTGATCTTGAAAACAAACTTATGCCCATTTTTGCCAAAAGATTTGCAGCAGAGGGACAAAAAGCTGTAATAAAACAAACATTTTTAAAATAATTTTCTATCTCACTTTATACTGTTCATGAACAGTGCATCCGTAAAGTATTAATATCGCATCACTTTTTCCACATTTTTTAATGTTACAGCCTTATTCCAAAATGGATTAAAGTAATTAATTTTCTCAAAATTCTACACACAATACCCTATAATGACAATGTGCAAAAAAAGATTTTTTGAAATTGTTGCAAATTTATAAAAAAAGGGCGAGGCAGTGGCGCAGTAAGTAGTACTGTAGCCTCACAGCAAGAAGGTCGCTGGTTCGAACCTCGGCTCAGTTGGCGTTTCTGTGTGGAGTTTGCATGTTCTCCCTGCCTTCGCGTGGGTTTCCTCCGGGTGCACTGGTTTCCCCCACAGTCCAAAGACATGCGGTACAGGTGAATTGGGTAGGCTAAATTGTCCGTAGTGTATGAGTGTGTTTGTGAATGTGTGTGTGGATGTTGCCCAGAGATGGGTTGCGGCTGGAAGGGCATCCGCTGAGTAAAAGCTAACTGGATAAGTTGGCGGTTCATTCCGCTGTGGTGACCCCGGATTAATAAAGGGACTAAGCCGACAAGAAAATGAAGGAATGAATGATTTATAAAAAAATAAAAATAAATAAATGACTTGAATCCATTTTGGAATAAGGCTGTAATATGTAAATTGTGTATAAAGTGAAGCGCTATCAATACTTTTCGGATGCACTGTAAAAATCAAATCAAAATGACATACCTAAAAGCAGAAAGAGAGGACTGAGTGGATTGATGTTGAAAAAACTTTTGATACTGGTAACAAACGGATCATCAGGGTTGTTTATGGAGTCGAAGTCAACGCTGAAGGAGGAGCTGGCGACAACATCTAAACTGTATGGAGCCACAACACTGAAACACAAATAGGGGCTTCTTGTTAAATATATAATATAGTGATCATTTACGTTTGTAACAAAAGATTTATGATTATTTTGTCTCATGTTATGATGGAAAAATGGCACATACTCTTTTATTTTAAGTGGTAGATTGGGGTCTTTCTTTTCCATATTTTCAATAAAACGATCAGCATGTGTCATAGCAATGGGAAATATCTGAAATATAAAAAAATATATATAAAATCAGCAACAAACGTGTTAAAGTATAAGATAACATAAACGTTATATAAAAGAAAATGTAAAATGTTTTAACATCAACAATAACATGACATGCTCAATTCCTCTTCCATCCTGTTAAACATTATTGCACTCCATTGTACAAACAAAGCACACATATATTATTGTACAAACAAAATAAAGTCACTCAGGTTTGGATGAACATGAGAGTGAGTACATTTTATATTTGGGTCTCTTTAAAAAGCTTCACAGTACCTCCTTCAGTCGTCCACTAGTGAAATATGGAGAGAGTGAACTTCGGATTCGCCTCCACCTCTCATCTTTAACCAATGTTATTCCATCAGCAAAAGGGCCAACCAAATCTGGATTCATATTCTGTAAAAAAAAAATTATCCAAATGATGACCGACCGCAACTGGGTCTTAAAGAAATAATTCTCTTTATGTTGTTATGTCCGTTCTAGTAAAACTGATGTCCTCACCCGTCTGTTAGTGAAGGTAGAATAACAGTCTTTCACCAAAATCGTTTTGATCATTTCCAGATCAGTAACAAGTAGCAATGGAAGCCTTCCATCATAGATCCTGAGCAATAAAAGAAATATCGATCAGTCAGCAATCCTGTGATCTGTGCAAATAACTATATCATTTAAAAGTGTGAAGTCAGCAAGTTTTAAAATTATTATTATTATTATTTTTTATTTAGCAAGTATTAATTTGATCATACTTGACAATGAATAAATTTGATAATGTAATATGATTTCATTTACAAATATTTGCGGTTGTTTAGGCAGAACAACTGTTTCTTAAGCAGCAAGTTCACTTAATTAGATTGATTTTTAATTATAGAACTAATTCTTGAGAACACAATAAATCATATAACTTATACTTACCCCCATACTTTTCCATACTTCTTAGAACATTCTATGTCAAAATTACAGATGCCCTACAATACATTTGCATAGAGAAAATTAATTACGTCTTATTCCTCTAGGATCATTTTCAGTAAGTACACATTCTTATACCTTATATAATCAAATACTAACTTTAGAGTATGATAAAGCCGTGCCAACAAATGGCAAAGGTCTTGGTCCTGGAATTCCCAGTTTTTTGAAAAATCCATGTGGCCAAACACCGTAACTACATTATATAACAAAGATATCAGATTACATTAGCTTTACAGTATGATAAAATAATGCACAAAAATAACACAACACACGACTACCAATTTAAATGACATTCTTTGATCTGTTATTATTGATGAATACTTACATTAAAAGGAGGGTTATGACCAGAACCACCAGGGTCCAGGTCACAGACAGAGACGAGAGATCAAACATTGTAAATCAATGTATTCTTTAGTGTACAACAAATGCTCATGTACACTAATGCTGTGGTTTATTCGCGTTCACACCGAGAGTGATCCGGAAGTAGGGTCATATGAAAGAAAAAAACAAACATTAATCGTTTTACACCTTTGACGCATATTTCTTATTAACGGGGTTTCTTGTTAAGAAGCATACATAAAGCGAAACAGTTAGTTTTTATCGTGTAAAGTACGACGATTTCACTCACCTCACCACCGCTGCTCAACACGGAGTTCTACTTCTGTGTCTTCACTAAACAAACCTGCTGTACTGTTGCTCAAAAACAAGTCCCTCATTGTAATTTCAGAGTATATACATGACACTATAGTGACACCCTTTGGACAAAAACCGAAACTGACTTCAAACTTATAGTTCGATGTTTGTGACTTCATGACCGACGTAATATTTAGGCCTACTGGCGCTGCCAGTTCCACAAACAATATTGTCATGCCAAGTGGTAATGGATTATAATAATGTTTTGTTCCGTTTCCCTTTTCCTCCAAAATGTATTTATAGATTAGTAATTGATGACAGTATGTAGGCCTATCATTTAATATCTTTTGTGCAAACTACATAAAATCACACTTGGTTCTTATCAAATATTAAAACTGAACGCCTAAAAGGTGATTTTAAAATATGTTGTTCATAAATTTAGTTTAAGTTATCATTATTTACATTACATGTTGATTATACAGTGTTGAGATGCCCAAATAAGGGCCCACATACTGGCCAAAGTTGGTAACCTTTGATTTGGCCCACCATGCCATCTGAGAAGAAAGGGAGAATTATGAGGATGGTTTAGAGATCGTATGTTACCTTTTATTTGTTTGTTTTATTATTAAGCAACAAAAGCTAGCTGAAATTAAATGTTTCAATTTAAATGGTACAATTGAATCAGATTAGTTAATCAGACAGACAATGCAGAGACTTTGGGGAGTGAATCAGGGCAATATATATAAAATGGGATTGTTTGTAATAAAAAATAAATTATAATAAAATATGATACTGCATTAGTAAGTAATGTGGATTTATATATAGCACATTTATTGTGTATGGCCATACACCAAAAGCACTTCACAATCATGAGAGGGGGTGGCTGCCATTGCATCATCCAAGTGGATGCTGCACACAGTTGACCAAACAGCAGCTATTGGTGGAGTGGAGAAACAGGGATAGAGCTAATTCAGTGGATGGGGATGATTGGGAGGCCATGATCATAAGGGCCGGTGGAGGGAATTTGGCCAGGACACCAGTGACACCCCTACGCTTTACAAGAAGTGCCATGATATTTTGAATGACCAGAGAGTCAGGATGGTAAAGTCTAGAACGGACACGCGACCAGCCGAAAATGCAATATGCACATCAATATAGCAGCATTATTTATGACACTGTAAACCAATAAATAATATTTTTACAGTACTGTGATGGTTGGGTCTAGGGTGGGGGTGGGGGTAGACTGTAACAATTTTTTATTTATTAGATAATTTAATAGATAGCATAAATAATACTCGGTACAACTACTGATTTTATGTTACCGACAGTTGGGCTTTGGGTTGGAGTGGGGGTAGATGTCAATAAAATACAATAAATGGAAAATTTAATAAATATAATTTTTGTTAACTTCCGGCAACAACCGTATCTTATCTAGCAACAACAAGTCAGGACCTCGGTTTAACGTCTCATCCAAAAGAAGCATTAGTTAATATTATTCGAAGTAATGTTTGCTATTTAGCAATATTATGAAATGAATTAGGAAATTGCCCATGGCAACTTTAATGTAAAATAGTTTTTTATTTACTTTATTTATTTATACAGGGACAATGTACAACATGACATGTTGTGCCAGAGTTAGCTATAAAGCTAATTTACATCTGTTAGAGAGGTATATTTGTCTTCGCCCTACGGCTCTCAATGATATTTGGTTTTTGGCCGTTCATACAAAAAAGTTTGGCCACCCCTAATTACACATTATAATAGTTTCTTTACCATTATTTTCTACATTAATTATTGTGTGTTGTTATTGATTTTAATTTAGCTGAATAAAAAAGGTAATAATTTTATTGACAAGACTTCTTTGTACAGATTATTACAAAAAAACATACAAAATAAAATAAAACTGTCCATTAACTCCCCAACATGCAGTTTTCAGTCACAGTAATAAAAAACACAACTATATGGTATTTCATTGATCATTTCAAATGAGATTTTTCACAATCTGCATAAAATGTTTTAAAAATACAAATTTTATGCTAGACTGCAAAGCCCAACAGTCAACTTTATCAAATGAAATGAGTGTAGTGAACTCAAAATTGACTGAAAGTTAATTCTGCTCATTTGAAAAGAGTTTTTAACTCCGTGTTGAAGTTAATGAGTTAATTAAATACCTAATTGCTTCAGCTTAATTGGAGTAGGTTCACAGTACTCATATAGATGTTAGTTTTTTTTTTTTTTTTAACTCAAATGGTTTGTAGCAATCGGTTTCCTCAAACAGTTTGAGTTGCCTTAACATATTGAATTTCACAGTACACAGTTGGTTTAAGTTGTCTTCATTTATCGGGTTTTACTGTGTTTACTGTTTTTGGGTTTTCCATTTATTCAAATGGAGTAAGTTCACAGCACTCATTAGGATTAGTTTTCAAACGTAAATAGTTTGTTGCAATCGGTTTCCTCAAATGGTTTGAGTTACCTTAACTTTTTGGGATTTACAGTGTAGATACATGTGATTGTAACATCAAGAAAACATCTTTGTATCTTAGAGGCATTAAAGTCAACAACAAGCATTTCATTTATCATAAAAAATCTTTACTTCATGAACGTCCATGACATACACTTGTGCTAAAACACTTGGTGAGACTGAAACAAACATTTCCATAACAGTACACTCTTGTTTGATAACTGTATTTGTTGTGTTGGCATTTTCAAGAACTGCAAAAATTCAAACTTCTCATGAAAGTACAACGGAACTACTGTACGTCACTTCTGAAGAACACTATAGCGAACGACAAAACAAATTAACTTTAAAATCGCACTGTGAAATTACACTTTTTACAAGCCTGTCAAAAAAATCAAATAAAAGCAAAGAGTCAATCATACTGAAGGAGGAAACTCAAATATTTATGGCTCAAGAGTGCAGAACGTATGTGCAAAGCAACTGCATACTGATCTCCTCACACACAAGTCATACATTCGATCATTAAATAATTTCAAGTGAGTGTTTGCAGTTCCTAAGCGAGGCCGAACAGACAGGAACAAAAGAAAAAGCCAGAAGAAAAAAAAAAACAAATGTTGATATGTGTGTGAGAATGAGCAATGGCACAAATCACAACACATCTGGCACTGTCTCACCGTCCAATCACAGAGGCAGAAAACCAGACCATTTCTAATGACCTCCGTAGGTTAGTTTTTTTTTGCTGGTGAGTCTATAAAAGAATTTACTGAAAACATCCGTGCTTCATTATCCAGGTTGCATGAATCAAATCCATTAGAGAAGATTTACATTTCATGACCTTTGCGACCTCAAGTGCAACGTGTATATATAGGGACACTGACGGTGAGATGAAATTTTTCAGACAAGAGTATACAGTAATTACAGTGTGTTTTTCCACTTCGCCTTTTCCTCATGTTCATCTCAATGTGACGGGGCAGGAATGTTACGCGTATACATGTGTCTCATCACATCGACCGGTGAGTCCTGCTTATTAAAAACCACAGACATTTATGCATCTTTCACAACCAAGGCTGCAAACATGAGGAGGGACACGGTACAGTAACAGTAACTCTTCGGTATTGGCGTATAAAAATCTTTTTTTCTTGTTGTTTTTCTCCTCTGAATAATGATCGCTAATCGAGTACATTCAGAATCCAGCAACTCGATGAGCGTTCGTTCACACGTGATGTCTCTCTTATAGTGCTCGTGATGATAGTGCTGTGCCAAATCAGAGGAGATCCTCTGCAACTATGTTGTCCGAGCCACAAAGAGGGGTGCAGGTGGTTCTGTGTGTCACACAAATGAGGAGAAGCCTGTGACGGGAGTCCGTGAGCCTGGCGCAGGCTGGCCGGCAGGGGTGTAGACCCCACCAACACTGTGCTGCGTCACTACTGTCTGATAGTAGGACTCGTTGTCCCCGCTGGCACACTCCTCGTAAGAGCAGGCCAGCGTCTGCTTCAGCCCCTTCTGCTGCCGCTTCCACGAGTTGAAGTACGACGGGTCGCTCATGTAGTGATTCACGAACGAGTGTTTGATGGGCTCCTCTTCACACTCGCTGTCTGTGGCCTGATCAGTAGAGATGTGACAAGAGAAATCACGATACAGTATGCTGCATTGTACTGTAGGATGATTCTATAAGTGCAGGAATATTTGATGTGCAAAGACATGATTTCTTTCAGTTTTTTTCAAATGGTTGCATTTGAAAATGTTCCCAGTACTGGGCTGTAGCTGGAAGGGTATCCGCTGCGTAAAACATATGCCAGAGTAGTTGGCGGTTCATTCCGCTGTGGCGACCCTTGATAAATCAGGGACTAAGCCAAAGGTAGATAAGAAAATGAATGTATTTAAAAATATTTCAATATTTTGTTACTCAAATGAATCAGGATGTTACAGGATGAAAATCACAAAATCTTGTTGTCCAAATTAGTCAGTGTATGTTTCTGTCTTGTGCTATTATTATTATTTTTGGTTAATATTTAACTTCTTTAATTTATAAAATCCCCTAAAGGTATAGTTTACCCAAAAATGAAATCGTACTCATTATTTACTTCCCCTCATGGGGTTTTAAACCTTTCTGAGTTTCTTTTTTTCTGCTGAACACTAAAGAGGGTATTTTAAAGAAAGCTGAAACCTGTAACCATTCATTCTTTCATTCATTCATTTTCTTGTCAGCTTGGTCCCTTTATTAATTCAGGGTCGCCACAGCAGAGTGAACCGCCAATTTATCCAGCAAGTTTTTACGCAGCGGATGCCCTTACAGCCGCAACCCATCTCTGGGAAAAATCCACATTCATACCCTACAGACAATTTAGCCTACCCAATTCACCTGTGCTGCATGTCTTTGGACTGTAGGGGGACACCGGAGCACCCGGAGGAAACCCTCGCGAAGGCAGGGAGAACATGCAAACTCCACACAGAAATGCCAACTGAGCCGAGGCTCAAACCAGCGACCCAGCTACCTTCTTGCTGTGAGGCGACAGCACTACCTACTGCCCCACGGCTTCGCCACCTGTAACCATTGACTTCCAAAACAAAATCTATGAAAGTCAATGGTCAATGGAT